ACATACCTAAATAAAACAGATAGCGCAAATCCCGGGGTGGAAACGAAGCTGCACCCGGGGCAGTTAACGCGGGTCCTGTCAGCTCACGACAGCCCCGGCACCAGCATGGGCAGGGCCTGGGTCTTCTTCCTGGCTGGTGTTCCTAAGCTCAGCCCCAGCCAGCCGGGAGCAGAAGTGCATCATCTCCCAGGCCTTGATAATGCCAGGCTCAGTGCCCCTTTAAGACCTGCTCCATGGAGAACACAGTTCCCAAGCCACTGGGAAGATAAATAGCTCATCCCAGGTATTATCCAGTTGGAGAAATTCCATCAAAGGAGTGAGAAGTCAGCTGAGATAAAGTGATAGCGTAACCCTCTGTTGGAAAATGTGACAAAAGGCAAGATGCTTCAAGGGACAGATCTGCTAAAGATGCCTGGGAGGTATTTGTTGGGTGTGAAGTTTCCCCCAATGGTAGCAATAGAATCCAGCAGGAGAACCGAGATGGCTGGGAAGAAAACAAGCCTGCAGTATTTCTGAGGAATGCTTCCCCCTCCTCAAAAGTAAGCCCCGGTGCCCGACCCCCAACCTCAAAGGGAGTTTCACTGTCCAGAAGTTTCTCCGAGCCCCCCTCCCTTACCTGCTTCCACTCCAACTCCCTGTCACTTGCAATCTGCTGATTAGGGTTAATGTATTGTGTCCTGATATGGCAGATTAAAAATGAAATCAATAAATGCCTAAAACAAATGGGCTTTTGAACTGTCCCATTCAATCTGAGTCTTTAAGGGAGAGGTGAGGGTGGGAGAAGGAAGTCAGAACGGGGCTGGGGAGACCACTTAAGTAATCAATGTCCGTCCAAAACACCGTGCGGAGGCTGCTGCGTGTGCAAGGCAGCTGTCCTTCATGTTTCCAGGGATCTGCCTTAAACAACCAGACTGGCCAGGACAGTTCATGCCGCTGACCCCCTGCGGGGGGTGTGCGTGCGCTTATTATTTCCATTCATCTGTTAGACGCATACGGTTTGACTAAGCGAAGGGGGTCTCTAGCCTGTGGTATTTACGTCTCCGAGATGTGAACTTGGCTTTCGGAAGTATGTTTAAACAAAGTGAGAGGTCCTGGGTCCCTTCTCCACTCCAATTCCTGTCCTCTTGAATCTCACCCCGCTTGCCAGTAAATTACAGGTAAGCTTCCCCTGAGCCCCTGCCCCCTCCCGTCCAGAGAACTCACTGGCGCATCCAGCCACTGCTTGGCTGTCATAAGGCCAAAAGCAGATAGCTCAGGCCATCGCTCCTCTCCACTGCAGTATCCTGAATGGTCCCTGCTGAACGGTTCCCATGTAAATAACCTGTGCTATTAAGGTGCAAATTGCAACTTTTAAGTAATGATTGCTAATAGTCTAATGTTTACCGCTACACAAGGACATCCATGCAAACAAAATCTGCATTATTCATCTCCGTAGTAAATAAACAAAATAAATCGAGGGAGCTGTTTCTTCCTGCCAGACTTTGCCGAGATCTGAGATCTGGGTCGTCAGAGAGCTTTTGAGAGTCAGCAAGAAGGAAGCGTTTCATCTCTCTGGGTGGGCAGGAGCAGAACCCTATCATTTATATACACATTAGATATTCACATGTAGACGATCCCCAAATATTGTGATACCACAACTGGCTGGCACTACACGAAAACAATAGTTCGGGACGGTGAAATAAAATATGTATTTCACATGTGTGTACAGAGACCGCGATAGATCGTAGAAAGCAGAAACAACAGTAGCGTGTAAATCCACAATTTAAAACTGTGAACTACTCTGTATCCTGCAAAATACAAACAAACCCAAATACTGTTCTGTTTTGTTTTGCCTTCCTGCCATCTTCTCCATCTTCCCTAAAATGGACAGTGCCGGGGAGATGCCGGTATAGAATTCTGCAATATTCTCATAAACCCCTGAGGTACCGCAGGCTGCTTTCTAAACTTTTTTTTTTCCCCCTTGCCCGAAGTAACGGTATGGTAGAATAGCACAGCTTTGGAAAGTCAGGGGAAATGACATTTGGGAAATGTTCTGCCTTAGCTGTTTCCTTAAAGAGAACTGCCTACCTCAGATCCCTGCCCTTTGAGGTGGGGAGGAATACAGGAAATAAGGACTAAAACCCCCAGTCCTTGTATCATCTCCCTCATTCCATCTGAATACCTGCTTTATTAGAAAGCTCTCTAATTGATTCCTTGAAACATGGAACTTAAAACTAATAACGCAAAGGAATCCAATTGCCTGACACAGGGCTTGGGAAGGATAGTCTCATCTCTGATTCACTCGCAGGCTTTTTCTATCTTACATTATTCATTAATCAAGCTGGAAATCAAGCTTTCAGCATCGGGCCATGGGAGTAATTACTTACAGTTGTGCTTTGTGTTTAATTTTAAGCCGTGATACGAGTTAGGATGGCCGTCTTCCTGGGACCCACCTTCTGCACACACACCCCCTCTCCCCCACGCTAACTGGCTAAAGAATCCCAAAGTATCGAACTTTCCTTGGCCATAGCCCCCTCAGCTAGAACAGCACAGCAGCGATGACTTCAGAGGAAAGAAACATTGCGTGCAAAAATACCCGCTGTATTAATACGTGTGCAAATAAATACTGCAGGAGGGGCCCCATTGTGTACGAAATGAATCACTCCCTTTTGGCTCAACAAGGGGTTCTCCTTCTTTGGTGAAAATAATGAAAACCACGAAAACAAACATATGAAGACAGTAGGAACACAATAGGCCGGGAAATTGAAACTACAGTCACAACTTTCTCACACACACACATACACACCCTCCCTCTACAGTAAGCAGGCAGGCCAGCACCAGGAGAGATCCGCTTAATGAAAGGGCCTGATTTAAATAATGTGATGCAGCATTGTGCTATGTACACCTGGATCCTCATTGATCAGCAAATAATTATAAGCAAAGTAGCGCGATTCTGAGCAATGCACTTTTTGTAATGAGCTTGCCAAAGGAGACATGGCCAGTCATTCTGGTAATGTAAATGACTGCCACCCAGTTGGTTGATGGCCTTTACCGGAAAGACAAGGGGGGAAGAAAAGAGTAATTTTCAGGGCAGTATCACTTCTTTCTGGACTGTTGCCAGGGGTTCTCTTTTGGGACAACAATGAGGACGTTATCTCTAACAATCTAGCTGCACTTAAACTTGTGTTGCCAGAACTAGACAGAGCAGGCTTACTCTTCCTGAGTCCAGAAGGCCAGGGTCAGGCCACAGAGCAATCTAAGTTAAAAAAAATTAGTCAGTTCAATGTAGAAAGGGTCCCGGAGTAGAGAGAGAAACTGTTTTTCAAAAGAGGCAGAGTTGTAAAAAGATCTCCTCACTCACGAGGTAGGTTCTAAACATGTATCGCACTAAAACGTTTTAATTATTTTGCTCCGAGGGAAGCGATCGGGAAATGCACGAATCAAAGCTTTATAAGTGATATTTCCGCATGCGATCTGAAGCCATCTCCACCCGGCAGCTCCGCGCTCAGAAGGGAAGATAATTGTGGATATCTCGAAGCACATGTACTGCCATTCGGGCTGGAATCGGGCCACGATGGAGGATGAGCTTGGTGGTCCAGCCTGTTCAGACACAAACACCCACTTTGCCCAGATTTGGAGCTAACTTTGGATTTGTTCTGAGGGTGGCTTTGCAAAGTTTAGGAAAGTGCTCCGCCGAACTTCTCCCATGCTCTGCACGAGTAGGAACAGAAGGAAATGTGGTGGTGGGTCTGCCGGGGACCAGCCTGAACTGACGCTGCCTAGAGCTCGAGGGTGAAGACAGAGACAGGGAAGGAAAACAGCCAAAGCTTTTTTGCTAAAGCCCCGATTCAACTAAAGGACACAAAGAAATAAAAACGCCCACATTAAAAGCCAAACAAGATAATAATTGTGCATGTCTGGCTCTGAATCCAGAGGGCAAGGCTTGCGTCACTGGCACTCTGAGTTACCATGGTGAGTGATTTATTGATATATATCAAGAATGAATAGATCAAAGGCAGCGAGATGACAGGTGATCAATCAAATGTCAAATCAAAACTAGCAATCAAGTGGAAAGCTGATTTTTCAGTGGGTGGGTCTGGCAGGAGAAAAATGAACTTTCATATTACACTTCCGAGAAACAAAACCCCAGCATACTATTAAAAAAGCAATTAAGCAACCCAAAAGAGAGAAAAAAAAAAATCCTTTAGCAGGTCTATTGTGCTGATCCATTAACCTGTTCCTCTCTTTTTTGGGGGGTGAGGTGGGGATTCAGATGGGACAGTTCCTACCATACAAATCAATTTACAAAGTTTGCAACTCTCTCTGGGCAAAGAAAAACCAGAGCCCTTTCCATGTTCTACGGGGCACCCCCACCCTCTTTAAGAGAAGGCAGAGCGTTGATTAGATTTCCCAACGTGGATCCTTTTAGCAAACATAGTCAAAGGTTCACGCGTTTGCTTCCTGAAGTGGTTTTTTTCCACGTTGGCGATCAAAGCTGAACTCGCACTGCTCGCCCCAAAACCAGCCTGCAGCCCAGGCTTGGGCAGGGCTCTTGCTTCCACTTCAGTGCCCCAGCCCCAGGGAGAGCAAGCCGCTGTCCCTCCAGGCCAGGAGTGCTGGCACTGGCCACGCAGAGGGATGAGGGGGTGGAAGGACAGTACCTTGCTACTCTGCACCCCAAACCCTCAGCCCAACTTTGGCCCAAGCAGCAAGAAACAGACCGCGAGAAAGTTAGGGGTGGGGTAAGGGGTAGAGGGGAAAAAGTTTAAGGAGGGAAGGCTCGGTGGGATAGCACCCCCACCCAGCCAGAGCCTGCAGAGGGGAGGATTCAGGAGATCTGAGAAGGCGAGAGAGGACGGGGTTATCCTCAGGGCAGAGAGGGATACCCCCGAGAGCAACTTCCCAGAAAGCTGGGGGGTGGGGGGGCTGGCATCCTGGGCACCAGGGCCAAGAGGGCGGCGAGGGGCTCTGCGCACAGAGCAGCGGCCGAGGGGCAGCCCCGAAACGGAGCCTTCTCTTACCTGCCGCCCGCTTGGGTGCCTGCTGTTTCCTCCTTGGCATCGCTCAACTTCGCTCCAGTCCCACTTCGGGCGCCCCAGCCCCAGCCGCGCGCGGGGCCCGCGGTCTCTCCGCCCGCCGGCTCTCCTCCTCCGCCTCCTGCCCGGTGGCTCCTGGGGCGTCTCGGCCTCTGTCCCCCCGGCGATCCCCCCTGCCACTCCGCCGCGGGCCAGAGACCCCCTCCTGGGCGGCGGGCACGGGTGGCGGCTGGTGCCGGCGGCTGGTTTGAAGTAGAGGCTGGCCGCTGCGCCTTGTTGTTTTGTTTGTTTGTTTTGGATTTTTTTTCCTCTCTTTCTCTCCCTCTTTCTGTTTCTGCTCTTTTTGGATTTTTTTCTTTTTTTGGTTTTGGTGGTGGTTGTTTTTGTGACTGTGGAGACACTTGATTTCTTTATTAAACATCCAAGCCCAGGCTCGGAGGGAAGGGACGAGAGGCGCACACACGCGCCACGCGCACACGCGCGCGCAGAGATAAGGAAGGAGGAAAAAAAAAAGGCGATCCCGGGAAGGTAGTGGTTTCTTCTTCTTCTTCCTCTTCTTCCTCCTTCTCCCCTTCCCCTCCTCCTGCGCCTCCTCCTCTTCCTCCTCCTCCTGGCCGGTCTTGATGGCGGATCCGCGCCTGGGGGAGAGATCACTCACTGTGGGTTTGTGGCTGCTGTCAGATCCCGCCTGTGAGTGATATGCGAGAGGACAGGCGCGGGTTTGGGGAAGACAGAAAATCTGGAATTCACTCACTCACACACACACACACACACACACACACACGCACTCACACAGACACACGCGGACACACTCACACAGGCACGCACCCCCGCTTCCTCTCACACACTCACACCCCCACATAGGCGCACACACACACACATACAGACACACACACAGACACAGACACACATACAGACACACACACACTCACACGCGCACGCACACACACACACAAGGCAGGGCGAGGCGATGCCAGCAAACATCGATCCTGCTGAACAAACTGAACATTAACAAACTCCTCCTCCTCCTCCTCTCCCCGCGACCTGATGACAGGGAGAAATTTACTCCCCAGCCGCAGCGCGCCAGACAGAGGGAGTCTATTAAAGGGACAGTGTCCCACCGGGGAGCGAGGGGCTGGGGGCGGGGCGGGCTGGGCACCCCTGGCCCTGCTGCTGTTCTCAGGGAACCCTCTTCCTCTGGATGGTGAGGACCTGCCTACCAGGCACTGGGATAGCCCTGGGGGGAGGGGAGGGGAGGGAGAAGGGAGGGAGGTGTGGGAGGAAAGGGGGAAGGGTGATGGCTAAACTGGAAGCCAGGAAGGGAGCTGCAGGGGGCCAGGCCAGCCAACCAGCGGAGACCTTGGACAATATTCAGAGGCTGAGAACTTAGATTTGCTCTGGAGAGGGAGGGGAAGGGGGAGAGGGGAGGGAGAAGGGGAAGGAGAGAGGGAGGGTGGGGGAAGGCAGTTTATCTGATGATGACCTTCATCCTCAGTCTTGTAATCTGACCACAAAGATGTCCTCCCCACCCCCCTTAAGTTTAAAGATGCCCCTGTCCCTCCCACCTCCTGGTTAATCAGTAGATGATCATAAAAGCAAAAATATCCCATTGGCAGCCTCCTTGAGAGTTTCATCGCCTATCCCTCTCTTTGTTTTGTTGAAATGGTATTTATTGAGCACCTATTATGTGCCTGTTCTGGAGACACAGCAGCCGCTGGAGAAAGGGAAGAAACCCGGGTCCTCTTAGTGTTTATATTTTAATGTGGGAGCAGACTGGTCATCCTCAGGTATCCGGTCATTGCTGCCATCTCACGTTCCCCCAGAGGCCTGCCTTACTCAAAATGTCACACACACAGGCTCCCCACCCCATTTCCCTATTTTTCCTCTTTTGTTTACTGTTACATCCCCAAAAGAGGACAAAGAACAAGACATATAGTAAGTGCCCAATTAGATACTGTTTGAATGAATGAAAGCCAACAAATACACAAGATAATTTCTGAAGGAGGGGGAAGCTCCAGACTCAAGGCAGGAGATGTCAGTCAGGCAGAGACAGACTGGAGCGCATGTGGTGACAGCCCTGCTCTGGGCCCGGGGCTTCCTAGGTGCTGGGGCCAGGTCTCAAGGAACTCTCCTTCCTGCTGGAGAGTCTAACAATAAAGGGGCCAGTGATGCCCGCTAGGGCGGGCGGTGTACTAGGAGGGTAGTTAACAGGGATGTGGAGAAGGGAGGGTGGTTATCAGACAGGGCTTCCAGGGAGAGTCAAGTCAAAACTGAGTCCTCAATATGGAGGTTATTAAGCAAGAGGGAGCAGTAGAAGAGATGCCCTTAGAATAAGAGGCAGCCTACGTCAACGCTTCCTGCGTAAAAGCCCCAGAAGCCTTTGCTGAGATGCACATCTCTTGGCTAAACCCTAGAACAAGAAGGGCTGACATTTTGGGCCATATTTGTTGTTGTTGGAGAGGCTGTTCAGTGCGATGTAGGATGTTTAGCAGCATAGGCAGCCTCTGCCCACTAGGTGCCAGGCCCTTTCACCCCCATGGGCCAACCCATGCACTGTGAGCTGGGTTGTCCCCAGACACTGTCCCCAGACATACTCAACATTGTAACCAAAAGCCAACTCAAGCTTAGATATAATATAATTTAGGAGTTCAACTGGTGCCATTGTTACTACGGTCATTGTTATGGGATTTCAGCTATGCCTGCTTTTCGCTATCACCCCCACATGTACCCACCAGAACTGAGGCCCGAATGGTGTGACCTGGGACCCCTCCCACCAAAGACCACCCACCTGCCGCCTTAGCCCTCACTCAAGGGGAATTACCAAGGGTGACCAGTTCCCACAAACACTTTTCTTAACTGTTCTTCGGGGCTGTAGGCAAGGTTACCTTCCCATCTTGTTAGTCAGCCACCACCTGTATTGCCACTGTTCGCAAAGCGCCGCTTGATCATTTTTAACATCCCCACTCGGGAAGCAAAGGCTCATTTCTCCTTCTCCTGTAAGAGGTACAAGTGGTTAACTCTCTTACCCAAAGTCACCCAAGCCGCCTCCACCCAAGACCACCCCGCCCAATCCCAGCCTAGTCCTTAAGCAACCGAGGCTGACAAAACCCTACTTCAGAGTTGACAATGTCAGCACAAGGGTATTAACTCTAATTAACTCTAATTACCCAACATGCCTTACAGGCCTGTTGTGCTAGGCCAGGGCTTGGTGAAGAAAGCCCCACAAGCCTCTGTGTCAAGGACACACTCACGGGGTTAGGAATGGAAGGAGACTGAGACCAGGCGCTCACGGTGACAGCTCCCAGCGCTAGGGAAACCCATGCCTGGGGTTTGGTGTTACAGTCAATCATTTAACAAACATCCACCATATTACTTAGGTGCCAGGCCTTGCCCCAAACACAGGAGGTGCTGAGGTGCATAAGATAGGATCCTTGCCTTCAAAAAGCTTCTGTTGGAATGACACCCAAAGGATTGAGCACCGGGAAGAAGGGAAGTCTGGGGCTGAACTCAGGCTCGGACAGGATCTAGATGGAATTGACATTGACAGGAATAGTTGACTCTGGGATAGAGTCTCTCCTGGCCCCACCCCAGGATTCTTCTCTAAATGTTTACTTCCAATCTCTCCTCTTCCCCAGTAGCTGGTTATATAATGTGATGGAGGGGATGGGCTTATAATAACTCTGCTAAACCTATCCCTCAGCTGGCTACCAACACATTCTTGGACACAGTCTTCGGGAGTGTTTTTATTCATTTGCATTATTTTCCAGCTGCTGCAATTGTAGACTATTTAGCTTGGTTATCAACAAGGATGTTGGCTACTCCAGTAGGATGCTATCCACCTGGCGCCCAGGTGTTGTTCAGTGGTTAGACATGACATTGGAACACACTGAGTCACCCAGTAAAAGTTATGCCCCTTCAATCTGAGAAAGTCTGTTTGGTGCTAGTGTGTCTTCCATGCCTCACAATTGCTACCAACTAAGAAACCACAGATCGCAGGCTTAGAATGTGGGGAGGGACAGGAGTACCTGGCTAGACTTTTAAAAGAATGGTTTGTTTTTATTGACTTCACTTTAAGGTTACCTCTATCTTAGTGAAGATACTGCTCTCCATTTAGGAGAGCCATCTAAAGCTTGATATGATATGATGTAAAGGTTTAAAAACTAGAAATAGCTAAGGGATGATAGAGAATAAATAATGTGGGGCGTGGAGATGGCAAAATGTGAGAAAGATGATAGAAACAGGCACGGCTAGAATTTGCAAAATGTGTTTCTCAATCACAGGCCTTAGCAGTTTTGGGCACGTCTTCCAAGAGTTGGTGGTGTGGAATGATGCTGTGTTTGGGTCTTCAGGGCACATCGCACCCTAGAACCAACGCCCCAACTGTGGGCTGTGGAAAGCGTGAATGGATTGGGATGACTCCACTGATCTTCCAGAAAGAACACTCTCCCCACAATCACCTGGGGATTTTTACTTTTTAATTAAGAGGCACAGGCCCCACCCCACAATTACTAAATTATTATAGATCCCAAGGTGTGGCCAGCAAATCTGGAATTTTAGAAGTTCCCAGGTGATTCTGAGAAGGAGCCAGGCACAGGAACCTTACCTGTGCAACAAGTGAATAGAGCTCGTAGTTCTTGCATGCAAAGAACTGCCAGGGTAGCTGCTGTTGAATTCACTCAAAAGTGTGGCTGAGAAGCCATGGGATGGCCTCAGTAAAGCACATATTTATCAGGCTGATTTTGTTTTGTTAATCCTCACCCGAGGATATTTTTCCATTGATCTTTAGAGAGATTAGAGGGAAGGAGGAGAGACATACACAGAGAGAAACATCCATGTGAGAGAGACACATGGATGGGTTGCCTCTCGCATGCGTCCAGTCCAGAGCCTGCAACCAATGACTGTGCCCTTGACTGGACTCCAACCCTGGACCCTTCAGTCCAAGGACCGACCCTCTAACCACTGAGCCAAACGGGGTAGAGCATCATACTGACTTTTTGTTTTGTTTTGTTAGTTTTCTTATCTTGCTACTGAGTTCCAACTCAGTGCAACTAAAACAAGTATTTGCCAATGTCTACCTTGTGCTAAGTAAGCACTGCCCTATCACTGGACATGGGGCAGCCAGTGACATTCTGGAGCAAAGGAAGGTGTCTCAGTGTCTCAGTCACTGGAATGCCTCCGATAGAATATGGCTCACAGCTTTACATTTTCTTTTCCCTCCAGCCAGATTTCTCCCCCAGTTCTGCTCTTTCTCCTCTAAACTCAAATGCCATCTCCTTTTGCCTATGCCCTCTGTCCCAGTCTTCCTCCCATCCTTCAGGGCAGGCACAGCCACCTGGAAGTAGCTTTTTCAAGTACGGATTATCCCAAAAATGCATACGCACTTAGAATAATTATCCATTCCAATGAGTTAAATCTGGGGGAAGGGAGAAGGAAACATCGATTGAGCTATCAGAAAAAAGTAGGCTAACATTTTTTTGGACACCCCATATTTGCCCGTTTATTATCTGTCTCTATTTAAAATGCAAGTTCTATTTACCTCTATATCCCCAAGTCCAGCACCGTATGGCAGGTGTTCTGTGCATGTTGTTTGGTTATGACATCAATGAGGAAGAAAAGGAAAAGAATTCTGGCCAGGGCCACGATGTGTTTGGAGTCTGCATGTTCTCCCCAGGTCTGTGTGGGGTTTTCGTGTTTTCCTCATGTTGTATGAAGTTTGCATGTTCCCCCCCAGGTCTATGTGGGGTTTTTGTGTTCTCCCCAGGTCTGAATGGAGTTTTCATGTTCTTCCCATGTTGTGTGGAGTTTACGTGTTCTCCACAGGTCTGTGTGGGTTTTATCTGGGCCTCTGCTTTCCTCCCACATCCCAAAGATGTGCTCAGAGGCC